TGCTGTACCCCTATGAGACAATGAGCGAATTTAATTCTAAAATGTGAATGTGTGAAAAGATGAGGCGTTTCTAGCTGTATAACGTATTTTCTCTGTGGGGCTGAATGCAAAAGATAACCGCAGTTTTCAGATTTTTGTTCCTGAAATATTTTTCAAACCACACAGCCTTTGCCATCCACTTCACAATTATGCACGACTTTGGCCTGATTCACCATGAAATTATCAGAATCAAAATACACTGACATTTATACTTGTAGCTTGAAAAGTGAAAGAGAAGTTTAAGGGGTATTACCACTCAGATTTCAGATAATTTTTTGGTGCACCAACATGAATATTTCTCATTTTACATTGATTTGTCAGCTAAATAAAAATATAAGATGATATTAAGAGGTTATTATTGTAATAAATAAACAAAGAACTAAATTATTACGATAGGATAAACACCTATTTGCTGGAAAATCTGGATGACATATGACTTCTACTGTAATGTTAAATGGATTACATTAAACTGACAGGGGCTGCAGTTTCTGGCAGAAACAACATCTTTTTTTTAATTCTAATTTTAGGAAATAACTCTCAGCGCTTTAAGTATTTTTTGTCATATAAAGAATTATTGTCAAGTATCATTAGCCTTTCGCTAATCAACAAAAGATAGCGTGGCATAGGTCTGTAAACTGGTGCACTCTTAGCAATCTCCATCATGGAAATGCCGGGCCGTGCTGCAAATGTGCTGTCAATCAGTGAGAAACAAAGACAGGCGTCTAACTGCTGAGCCCGAGACCAACATGTCAGTCAGAGTAGAAATGCCACAGAAACGCAGAGGTGTGAGAAGAAAAGGCTTAGAAGAAAACACAATTCCTCCTCTAGCAAGGGTGGTCTGACTTCAGGCTGCCCGTCTCTCTGCCTGTCTGCTGCAATTTGATGAAGGAGCTCAGCCTGGTCCTCACTGAACAAACAAAACAAAGCTAATAATGGGGCCGGAGTGCTTATCAAACAGCCTTGCGACTTCATTTGCATTCAACAAGACCCAGACGACGGTCAAACACGCACACATGTGCACCACTCGTGAGCCAGACATCCTCCTCACTGGCCTTGACCCTTGAACTCCAGGGTCCTCTTTCACCTGCTGCAGGACTATTCATGCTGGAGGGTCCGTCTAGCCAGAGCCTGGCTGATCTGCATATGTTGGTGCAGTTTTCCCACGCTGTGAGCTCAGACCTCGACGTGGCGGTATTCATAAGCGATCATTATGAAGATCTGCATTGTGTCTGTGTTCGTGCTGTCTGACTTTTTGCCTCTCCTGATGACCCCCGTTGCCATGGCTCAGTCCTGGGGAGCCCTTTTCTTTCCTTACCAATGATCTGTAGGTATTCTATAAGACCATGTCTGACAGGAATACAAAGACAACGCTGCATAGATGTAGTTTATTGCTACATATATTATAATGCCCATCTCGTGTTGCTTCTCCCCCTCCCTCTGTGCCAGGCTTTCCTCTCTTTGTTTCCATCCTCTACTTGTTTTGTTGTTTCTTTCTCCAGCACATCAAGGGTAAACTCATGACTCGTCTTGCCTTTTCCTTCCTCTTCCTCCTTCTTTGCAACCTGCCCATTGGCTGAGAGCAGCTCTGCGGACTCTCACTGGCTGCTGTAACCTACAGAATCGGTGATGCGGCGAGCACGAGGCTCCTGTGTAGTAGGGGGGTGTTTGAGGATTATTGTGAGAAATGCGTCTTCCCATAATGTGACTGTCAGATGGGGAAGGTTGCAAAGTAGACAACAGAGGGGAGACCGACGGAGGGCGTGCAAGCGCAGCATATGGACGTCCTCATCAGTCTATGCAAATGGGGCGAGACGTGTTCACATATGCAGACAAATTCACCCCCCCCATCATTCACTTATTCATTAATGGATCCTTCTGAAACCCAACACCCCCTTTACCACCTCCCCTTTCCTCAAATAATAACCTCTCGCTCTATCTACCCCCACCCCACAGTCTAGACCCCTGTCTCCCTCAAACCAGACACCCCAAATATCCTCCTCAGCCCCCCTCCACCAACCCGCGCATCTCGTCCTCTCTGCTCCATGGCTCCCATGACCAGTAGACAGAGCCTATGATTCGCGTGACCGCCATTTTGCTGCCCACCCCAGACCTAACTGTACGACGCAGCAGCTGCCTTGATGGGCAAAATGCAAATCGGAGCGCCGTTTAGTTCAGCTGCCCTGATCAGATGAAGTAGCGTCCCGGAAAACAGCACCGGCTCGAGCGATTGTAAAAACTGCAGCAGAGATGTTACATATTTCCTTTTTTTCTATTTCACAATCGGTTCAATCCAGACTCTAAAACCCATTCCGAGTGGTTCATTTGCCTCTCATCTCCTTCTAGCTGAAATGATTCCTCAAAACCACAATCATCGTATGTCATAGGCAGCTCTTTGTCAAGGAAAATCTCTCACCCTACGATTTCTTTAGTGCCATGGTAACCAGACATTTATGTGCTTAAACACACCACCATCATGGTCTGTGTGTTTGGACTTCGTTGGGCCCACAGCCCCTCATCTTAATTAGGCCGCACCAGAGCTTCTTTCTTTGGTTAATCGCTGTATTTTGTATGTTGGGGTCTGGATGTGTGACAGAGCGATATCTGATTAAGCAAAGCTTCAGCTTAATCCTTTGTGCCGTGTCACATTTGCATGCGAGGGAACACATGCAAACATCAGCACCATATGGCACAGTACTGTTAGGCGCCTGATCTCATGTACGCCAAACGCCGATCAAATGTTTTACAGGGCGCCGAACTGTTGAAGTCCCAAGAGAAAAGCAAACACCTTTCAAACATCACCTCACCCTAGCTTGATTTCCACCCATGCCACCTTTGCGGGATCCAGAGTTGGCAAACGGCGACACCGCTGCCTTTGGTTAGAGGTTATGCAAATGCAATTAACTGCAGATTTACATGTAGCGACGGTTAACGGACGCACAGATGGCAGACGACAGAGATGCGCTCGCCATCTTTGGCAGAGGAGGAAAGACTGGCAGCCATTTTGTCTGAAGCTGTGCCCATCTGAATGGAAACAAACCATGCTGCATCACGGTGACGCTCACAGCAGTTTGGGAGCTCCAGGTTGTAACAGAGCTGCTGCAGCTGCAGCTTCTACACCAACACTCTCCATGCTAAGCATGTACAGTACCCCCATGCACTAATAAAGCCTTTTATTGTTCAAAATGAACTTGTCTGCTGAAATATTGGAGACAATGTTTGAGCAGATGGAGTTGTTTAAAAAAAAAAATCTGTTTTGGAATAAAATACTCAGGGGAATACTTCTTACAG